AAAGCAACAACTAGCAATCCCGCCGACTGCTAGCAGACAGCTTTTCCGGCTGCGGTGGTCCAACTCAATCAAACTCCTCAGCTCGGCTCCACTAGAAACAGCCGTAGGTAAAGTCCGTAGATTGATTATTTTCTTTTCTTTTCCGCTTGTTAATTTCAGTAATTCGTGCTTCCCATGCTGTGATACGAAACCCTAGTTGTCTTCAGGACAAGCATCAATGTTTTCTATCTATCTATCTATCTATGATCTTGGGCAGTCGTTGATTTCTGCTACTTGCTCTTAAATTCCACTTTCTTGAGGTCGGGTAATGAAAATATATACTTCAGGGATTCTTACTTCAGCAAATGCAAACTCTAATTTTTCAAACATGTATTCACAGCGTACTATATCAATTATTTATCCAAATGCGATGAAGCTGCTGTTTGCTGTGCCGTTCAACTTAGCACTTAGCACATAGAGATATAAGGTAGAAGAGTAGCGCCTCTGGCAGTTTCCTGTAAGTGGCTTATTCTCTTCCTCACTTCATGAAAATGATTAACATCATCCCCTTTTCTTTTGCCCCTTTTGTTGCAACTATTCTGTGTTTACTGATTTTGAAAATGCTAATCAAAATCAGAACAGAAACTATTTTCTTTGACTGGTAAGTTGAGGGGAGAGACAAAATGTTTTCAAGAGAAGCGAGGGGTTTAAAGTTGACACTTTATGGTCAAAGGTGCAAAGCATCTTGATTTTTTTTTTAGGCTGTCAAAGGTGTCATTGGACAGTCACCAAAGTAGTAACATTCCTTATTCTGCTTTACCCAGTTGCCCTTGATTATGTATTTAATGATGTTATTGCAAATTATCTGAGCATTTCGTCTATGAATCTGGAGAAGAAGAGAGAGAAATAGATATAAGAATAAGAAGTTAGGATAGACAAAGAAAAAGAAAGAGAAGTGCTCTGCATTTTAAGTCAAAATGCCAAAACCTCTAAAATCCATTACAATAAGGTCTATTTGTATTGTACACAATCTCAAAGTAATCAAATACCTAAAAACTAATATATACTGCAAAAACATAATAATTAAATTTTTCAAAGAGTCTAAATTTTAAGTAAGTCCTAAATTCTAATTCTAACGATACAAACATGATGTACTTAATTTCTTCACTTTCATGGTTGCACCTACGCCGTTATTCTTCCCAGATTGTATGAAACTTGTGTTCAGGTTTTGTAACATTAATGGTTTTTGTTTTGATTTTGGAAGCTACAAGATCAACAATTCTTTAGTTTGAGCTGCACGGTTAAATTGATAAGGAATTATGAAATCAATGGGTGAGAGTCTCAATGACAAGAATATAATTGTCAACATTAGATCCTCTCCATGACAAGAGTGGTTTGATGCTAATCAAGATCTGGGAATAAAAGCGACTGTCTTTCTTGCATGGGATCTGCATCCTCCAGACTAGGTAAACTAGGCATTGATGGCTTTAAGAAGGGTGAACAAAAGCCCAAAGTTGTTCTGTAGTTGCTAAAAACTCAATTCTGAAGATGGCTGCAACAAAACTATATTTTTCCTTCTTGTTTGTAAAAGCTGGTTTGAGATTAAACTGGGTGTTGTGTTTGATTTGAGCATAACAAGGTTGGATCATGTTTGTATCAGGCAGAATAAGGTAATTTCATCAGTTCTCAAGAAATTCTTGGTACTGTGAGTTAGGAAATTTCAGTTAATGTTGAGTGATTACTGTCACTCTTGTAACTCCAGAAGATTCAGATTGGATTTATCACATGTGAACTTGGTGGCATTTGACCAAAAGAATATCGGGGATGTGTAGCCAATTGATATGTTTGGTTTATCGAAACAAGACACAGAGGAGCAGATACGACAACCAGTGGTGAGACTGAATCTGGTGCCATGTGCACATTGTTTTGAGTTCAATGGAACAACAGTCAGAGATGGCCAATGAAAGAGGTATTGGCTGGGTTATGGTGCATGGGGCTACACATGAGACCCTGTAGATTTGTCATCGGGGCTTCACACATGGTGATTGTTGCACATGGTCGTGCTCCAAGGACAACAGTGATCATTGACATTGAAGTTTGCTATAATTCCAAAATAAAATAGGAAAAAGAAGGGTCTAGGGAAGAAAAACTAAAATAGATAGAGGAGAAGGAGAGAGGCAAAGCAGTTCAAACTCAAGCCTTTGTTCTTATCATACACCAAGAACTCTAAATCTCCATTATAGAACTGCCTATCATTTAAGCAATCACATGACAAAAGGCTGTAAGGGAATAAATACTGCAATGACAAGATAATTAAACCCCTAATCATCAAACTCCTAAACTATAATTGTAATAGATAAAATCTAGATATAGTAAGTACCGATTTCCTTCTTACATCTGTCACTAGTGGAATTCTCATAGAATATCATATGATTTAGTGTGTGATATAGGTAGTACTTGCCCTTGGCATGAATGGTTCAGGATTCTCATTTAAATTTCGATGCTGAATATCTCACCTTTTCTCCCCCTCTAAATTTCTGATCATTTTCATATAACTTTTCTCATATGGGAAGGGTTTCATATGTGTATCTTATCTTACTTGACACTTTAATAATTTTCAGTTGAATTTAATAGCGCTTTCTACTGCCTCTGGGGTCTCATTAATGATGACAAACACTTCTGAAGAGTTAGGGAAGCATTCAACCTCAGTGTATCGTGTGAGGGAAGACAGTGAATACGTTCGGCTGGTTATATCCAACGAAACAAGGACGGCAGAAGCTGATATCTTGCAGCCACAATCAGAAACAAGAGTTAAATCTTTTTTGTGGTGGATTAGAGCCTTAGCTGGGTGCCTTGTTATCATTATATTTCTTCTCATTTTCTTAAAATGGGGGATGCCATTTCTTTTTGAAAAGGTATTTCCTATTAACTCTTCTTTCCTTGGATCTTATATAACATGTTATAGTCAACTCACCATTGTCCTGTTTGTAATTATATACTTTGTTTGGTTGTTCAGCGGATTCAAAAGCTTATATTTTTTCTTAATACCTGAAGCTTTTTAATATATGGCAGGTTCTCTTGCCAATATTGCAGTGGGAAGCCACTGCCTTTGGCCGTCCTGTTCTTGCCCTTGTTCTTGTTGCTTCTCTCGCTTTGTTCCCTGTGGTCTTAATACCTTCTGGCCCTTCCATGTGGTTGGCTGGAATGATTTTTGGTTATGGCTTCGGGTTTGTTATAATCATGGTTGGAACAACTATTGGGATGGTCCTGCCATATTTGATTGGTCTGTTTTTCCGTGACCGCATCCATGTAAGGTTTTCATTTTTTTCTAACTGATGATGACTTGTTGAAGAGAGTTTTTCTTTTTCATTTTTGTTTTATGTTTTAAAATAATACTACATTTATATGCCTGTGATATGTCATTGGTTATGTGGGCAGCAATGGTTAAAGAGATGGCCCCGGAATGCTGCAATGATTAGACTTGCTGGGGAAGGTAGTTGGTTCCATCAATTTCGAGTGGTTGCTCTCTTTAGGGTTTCACCCTTTCCGTACACAATCTTCAACTATGCAATCGTGGTTACCAGTATGACATTTTGGCCCTACTTATGCGGATCAGTTGCTGGAATGGTGCCAGAAGCTTTCATTTACATCTACAGGTCGGTTCTCTATCCTCTGTCTATGATGACTTTTGAACCATCAAATTCCAAGGGAATTTATTACTGAAGAAAAACTTAATGCTTTATGTTTTCTGATTCCTGTTAAGTATTAGTGGTAAATCTTGTCAAAGTAAAGTTCGTTCTGATATCCATACATTTGCACACAAGGCATACCCATGAGATGTTTCAGCTAACCATGCTTGGCTATTGCCAGTCAAATGTTGATCTTTAGAAATAAAATATAAACTATTTTTTCAACCATTTCTGCTATTTTCTTGTGCAGTGGTCGCTTAATAAGGACATTTGCAGATGTTAAGTATGGGAACTATCACTTGACTACAGTTGAGATCGTATACAACATTATATCCTTAATTGTTGCAATTATAACCACGGTTGCTTTTACTGTTTATGCAAAAAATGCTTTAAACAAGCTTAAAAGAGAAGAAGAAACTAGTGGAGTGGAAGCATCTGCCTCGGGCCATGGCAGTTTAGAGATGGAGAAAGCTTCCTGTTGAAAAACCTAAGCATATAGGAACATGGTAGCCTGGTCACCCAGGGGAATTTGATGGCAGATAAGTGGATTTGTTAGCGATGTTTTATGTCTTACCCCTTTAGGGGAAGAAGGGGGGGTTAGGTTTTGTAACTATGTCAAATAGGCAAATATAGAAAAGAAAAAAAAAAATTGATACTATTGTGTATAAAATGTAGAAAATTTTGAACTACAGTGCGCATACTTTGTGGTCGCGTGGATGTTACATATTTTTATCTACCTGGTTTCTTTGCTGCAAATGCCATAAGAAGATACTCTGATGGAGGGGACTTCTCAGCTAATTTTTTATTTTTTATTTTTCTGATCTGCCGCGAGCCTTCTCGACTAGCTGCAGAACTAGAGATTTGGATATTTCGATTGATTTCCTGTAAATATCGTAATGTGAAAGCATCTTTATGACTTCTGGTGTGTGTTGCTTCACTTAAAATCAATTGGATCAGGGATGTCATTTTTGATGCACACGGCAAATTCACCATTGGATTTCGTTTAAAATTATCCAACGCCTGGGAGACCACTAGGAGCTGACATATATTATATTATATGGCAAAATAATTGTGAAATGTGTGTGGTAGGAGAAAGACTTCCATGAAATGGAGATAGCACTATTTTCCATACCGGCCAATAACGCTATGATACGTGTGATAACACTTCCATGTGGCATAGCATTATTGGCAGGGATAGTAAAATAGTATTATCTTCGTTGTAACAAAGTTTTCTTGTGTGGTAGAGTGCCACTTCTTGCATCTCATAATTGTGAAATGTACTATTGCAAGAGAGAGATTAAGAACGCATAGTAGTAATAAGGTGGGGGAGGATGCAGTATTTTGATGTAAGCAAAGCAAGCTTAGTTTCATGGTTTATTTCGGACGAATGAGCGCAGACAATTGAATGACAATGAAATATGTTATTTGGGCTGGGCACATAATTAATTTAAGTATAGGCTTACATTACATTACATGAAATTAAATGAATAAAATAGATAATCACGAGGAAAGTTGAGCTTGAGACGATGAAAATGGCGGTTGGAAATGAGGGACCGTTTCTTGGGTGGCAACTGTTTCTTGTTGTGTAATATCAACAATTTGAGATAATTCTATGTTCACCATTTTGCGCATCTCTGTCCTCTCTGAGACAGATCCATCGCCGTCTATTTTCTCATGTTGACTCCTTATATCTCCAGCCCACATACCAATCCATTTTTGTACCATTTTATTAAACATTCCTTCCTTGAACATGGTACCCATCTTCATCATCATCATACCATGAGTAAAGATAAAAATGAGAATTTGTACAAGTGAAATGACAAAGACACAAGGAAAAACAAGCAGAGAGAGAGAGAGAGAGGTGTCTAACCTGGGTGACGATAACATACAACGGTAGGGTGCTGTAACTGCAAAGCACTTGAACAATCACACTGCAGAGAATGATGGAACAAAGGCATAACATAAGCAAGCAAAGCAAAGCAGTAGTTCATTTCATATTCAGCTTTTTGTGTTCTCCAATTCTTTGGTTATAGAATTACCCCATAATAAGTCTTGGTATGATGTAACCCAACTTCTCCATAATGCATGAATGAATTCCATACGTGCTCTGCAAAGCAGTGAAGCTGATCATCACATCAATGCAGAAATTAATGCACAACCTACCGAAGAATTGTAAGATATCTAGTTACCGTACCCAAATCCAGAAGAAGAAAGCAATCTCAAATGAATTCTGAAACAATATGAAGTGGATCAAAATCAGGACAATGCGAGGGTTGTTAAACCAAAAGTGTTCATCTGAAGGCTTCACTCTTGCTTCTTGATCAACCTGTGTTGTCCCTTCTGTCACCTCCTGAGCCAAAGTGGTAATTATGTGCTCCAGCTTTGAGCCCACAAGAAGCAGAAGCTGTCAGCCCATGCACCCAACACAAACATTATTAGATGATTTCATTTCCTCCCATAGTCAGTCAGTTAATTATTAACTTCCACTTGAAATTAATGGACCTTAAGGCACTCACAATCAGCGGCAAAAACGCTAACCAAAAGTACGTATGCCATCCTGCACATTATGATTGGAAAATTCATAAGTTTAATTTTTCTCTTTATTATGATTTGAGTGAGAGAGTACACATATATATAAGAGCTCACATTGAGATTGAGAAGATTACCTTCCACATTCAGCAACAAAAACAGCACAACAAACAGCCATAGGTACCAGCTACATAGGGTCGAGTCGAATATTTATTAGTTGACAATCATAAAATTCAATATAATGATTCTTAATACACAGTTCCGACCAAACGAGAATCTTAACACACAGCTAGCTTAAAGCTTAACAATAAGAAGTAAAACTCAAAAGGTTTTCTAATTTACCTTATCCCAACAATTTTTCTGAAGTCAATTTCAAGTGTCCGCATCATGTATGTGTGAAAATCAAAATCAGGATTCCCAGGGCAGTGCTCCTGAAACGAAACTGAGAGTAAGTCCCGTGCATTTTCAGTAACTAACAACATGCCCTTGGGGGAAAACCTTTAACCTTGATAAAGAAAAACGCAGAAATTGTACAGAAACTTGTGAACCACATAGAAACAATAAGGGGATATTGACCTTGATGAACCCTTGTCGCAGTGCAATGTAGTCCGACTTAGTGACAGAGCCGTAAAATTGTTTGAAGAATGACGTCTACCAGAACACACAGTAATAAACAATCCAAAACTAATCAGCACAGGCATAAACAAGATAGAACATATCATGGTACAGTCTTTATATTTTATTTAATTCATTATACGCTTAGAATATTCAGGTACTTTCATCAAGATATTATAATAATTCTGATCTTCTAATTGCGAGGATTGTCATTACAATTTGCATTTGGAATTTGTTTTTTTTTTTTAATAGTAAATTTATTGCGAGTCAGGAGGGAAGGAATGAATTAAACAGAATACAATTGAGATCAAGAAAATAAATCGTCCTCAGGAAATGAGCAAAAGATATTTCGTGGTTTGGCTCTTGGAGTAATTCATCAACCTTAAATATGAATCTAAATAATATAAAGCCTGAAGGAATGTTAAGAACTATATACAGTTCCATAACAATTTGCAAACACAAAACTAGAGCAAACTCACCACCCAACCTATTACAGCCGCTTTTCTCCAATATCCAACTCCGCGTGTTTTCAAGAACTCATGATGATGTGCACGAACTCTTTTACGACTAGTTGGATCTGCACTGAATAGTAAATTCAAATATCCAATTTAATGAATGAAAGCACTTCGATTAGCTAAAACAGACTTGGGAAATTTAAGTTGACATTACCCTTTCCTGACAGAATCCTCCCAGTGCTTCCATTGGCGTATCTACATATGGTAAACCGTATATGTTACAATGTAGAGATTTAAATTATATCCACTGCAACTTCAGACAATCATCCAAATAGTAAAATTTATGGAAGATGCATTACTCTTGCCCCTCCAAGAACCATAGTTGTGACACAAAAGATCACATGAACAACTGCCAATACAAAGATGAAGATGTGTAGATGATGTAGTGCTTCCAATGATAACAACGGAACCTTCCCCTAAGAAAAAAGAAAAAGGACAAGCATTATTGTTAATGTTTGTGATGATAATTGTCACCTTGTCATCATTGGAAGGTTCATGCTTTCTTAAATGGAACCATAGGATTAAATTACCCTATGATAGCAATGGCACCTTGCATATATATGTGCCTGTACCTGTGCCAATGGAATCTTCTAATGATGACAACGCCAAAACTCAGATACATGCCTGTACAAAATGTAACCTGTTTTTATCTAATTTCCTTAATGGCCCGTTTATGTGGCAAAGCCAATAGATCAGATATTTTTGCAGTTTAAGGAATGCAGTCTGAGATGCATTCTCCTGTAACTTGTTTTGTCAAAAATATGGGGTCAGACGGATGAAGACAGAAGGCATAGTTCACATGTTCCATCATTTGTAATGTACACACAAGCACTACATCTATTTTACAAACATTGTAAGTCATGGTAAATTGAATAAGGTACTAACAATACAGTACCTTCTTCAGACAATGATCTGAATTTGTTTCTGCAGACAAAAGCTGCCGCCGATTGTTTAGAGATGGATTAAGAGAGTAATGTTCATGGTTGTTTCCCTCAGAAGTTTCCCGCTTGCATGGAAGCATGTGAGATGCGAGATAAGAGGGGATGCATATGTGGCTTATGGAACCTTGAAATACAGTTAGTAGAAGGGAAATGAACCCTAAAAGCATCAATTCTGTTTCAGACATAGGAAACACAATGATTAGGCTTAATAAACTACAACAAATTAGGCTGTACTGATTTAATTAGGCAACATACAAGATGAAATGAGATGAGATGGCAATGCAGGCTGCAGCTTATATCTTATGACTAACATGTTCTTGATGGATTATGTAGATGGCAATGACATACAATGAAGAAGATACATGACGCCTTAAAAGATAAACAGCATAGAGAAAGATAGTTTACCTTCTTTTAGTTTCTGTAGTGCTTCAAATAGGGCGTCTTGTTTCTCATGCTTCAAGTACTGAATTTCCAACACAACAAAACATGAAACCAAACAGAAACTTACTTGAAAGTCTAGTACTGTGCCCAAACAACCCCTTACAGAATGTTCTATGAGTTCAATTTTTTATTATAAAGAGAGCTAAGAATGCTATGTGACTGGTTGCCCATCAATGATATTTGAAAGCAGAAAAAAGTCTCACTTTTAAAGAATTTTGGATAAACAAAGCTAAACTGTGCATGCGCACCTTTTCCATGTTTTGATAAGCTCCCAAAACTTATGTCCTAAAATTTTCTAACACAATTGAAATTTCGAGATTAGTTTTTCTCCTTTGGAATTTATTAC